CACATGACGCAGGTGCTCACCGGGCATGGCTGCTTTGGTGAGTACCTGCAAAAAATCGGGAAGGAGCGCACGACGCGGTGCTATCACTGCGGCCACGAGCGCGATACCGCCCAGCACACACTCGCCGAGTGTGTCGCCTGGGCGGGTGAAAGAGTGGAGCTCGTGACCGCAGCAGGGATGGTCTGTCATTGCCCTCAATAGTGGGGGCAATGACAGATAACGAAGATGTTTGGAGGGCGTTCTCCTCCTTCTGCAGCAAGGTTATGCTGCAGAAGGAGGAGGCCGAGAGGGAGAGGGAGAGAGAAGGAAAGGCAGAGGAAGGGGACGTGCCCCCTCTTTCCCCGGCACCGGCGGGCCTGCCCGTTTGTGGTGTCGGGGATCGGGGGGGGCGCGCCCCCAGCGGAGGAAAAAGAAGGAGAAGACACGGAGGGGGGAGGTGTGCCCCTTCCCCCTCCCCCGCCCTCGGCGGGCTTGCCCGTCGATGGCGGCGGGGGTCGGGGGGGTACAACCTCCGAAAAAAGAGAGCAGACGTGGAGGGCGGGGCCGGGCCCTCCCTTTCCGCGCCGTCGGCGAGCTCGCTCGTTTGTGGCGGCGCGGATCGGGGGGGTCCGCCCCCAACACACCTGCGTCAACTTTTGACGCAGGATGAGATTTCCGGGGGGGGGGGCCGGGGACAACTAAGTCCCTAAGGCCCCCCCCTGGAGCCTCACGAGAACCGGGGGCGTGGACGCATCACCCCACCGGGGGGGCGGGTCTACGCACCCGGAAGGGAAATCCCCCCAGTTGCGACCGAATCCCAACTCCTAAGGGAGCGGAAGGAGTCGCAGCCGGGGGGACCGAGGGGGGGCCACGTGTCCCCGGCGGGTGGGCATTGCTCTCCCGCTCGGGGCGCCTGGGTCCCCCTCTTTGACGAAGGCGTGACGCACGGGGCTCTCTCACCGGAAGCCACATGGCACCGGTGGGAGGGCAACGTCGTCCACGGAGGGGATTTCTCTCCTTCTGAGAGGGACCCCCTGGTGAGAGCCTCCGGAGTGAATGCCGAATCCCCCACTCCCTTCGGGAGGGGGAGGGAGCACCACTCTGGAGGCGGGGGGTGGCGGCTCGAGCGGGACACTCGAGCCGTGACCCCGCCCCCCAAACTCTTTGGGAGGGCGCGACGTGGGGTTGATACCGCCCTGCGTCGCAACCGCGAGGACCCCGCACGATGCAATTCGCGGGGGTCGGGGGGGGGGAGTACAACCTGCGAAAAAAGAGAGCAGACTTGCCTTCCGCAACACTCTCCCAAGGAGGGATAAAGCGGGGGGGCGCGCGAGACGGCATGGGATCCCAGCATCCTCGCCGTCCCCCTAAAAACGCCCGAGAAGGTATCCGCAGTGGGTTTAGTGAGGTATGTCTTGAGCCCCCTGACCGATCCATTCGTGGATCGGCCAAGGGGAGCAAGAAGTCCCACATAACCATCCGCTCTCTTCCCGGAGAGCGGTGGTATCCATGAGGATTCCTACTGCGCGTAAAAAAAAAAAAAAAAAAAAAAAAAAAGCCAGTGAAGGCAAGGTCGAGTGGTGACCCAACCAGTTAAGGCAAGGTCGAGTAGTGACCCAGCCAGTGAAGGCAAGGTCGAGTGGTAACCCAACCAGTTAAGGCAAGGTCAAGTAGTGACCCAGCCAGTAAAGGCAAGGTCGAGTGGTGACACAACCAGTTAAAGCAAGGTCAAGTAGTGACCCAGCCAGTGAAGGCAAGATTGCATTGTTATCAGCTCTCTCCGCATGAAGGAGGTGCTCAAAGTGTGCACCATTATTTTCTAAAGAAACAGTAATCGACAGCGAAAGTTACGTTGTACATTTTCTAGCATTAAAGGAGTTATAGCTTCACAAGCTCTTCTTATTCTTTCCATCATATTCAATCTTGTCGTTGGAGCTTCACTATACACTGCATCTTTAACGTATCCCCATAAAAAGAAATCAAAGGGGTTCAAATCCGGTGATCTCGGAGGCCACAGAACTGGTCCACCCCGCCCTATCCACCGATTTGGGAACCTTTGATTCAAAAATATCCGTACAAGACGAGTATAATGAGCAGGAGCACCATCTTGTTGATACCATAAATTTAGTCTAACTGCAAGGGGAACATTCTCTAGGTATGCTGGCAAATCATTTTCGAGGAAGTCTAAATACATTGGACTATTAATTGGACGTTCAAAAAAATGAGGTCCAATGATTTGGCCATTGCAAATGCCTACCCATACATACAAACTCCAACGATGTTGATTAAGCACCTCACGATACCAATGTGGATTTTCTGGTGACCAATAGTGGCAATTATGCCTATTGAGACTACCATTGCTGATGAATGTTGCTTCATCACTGAAACAAATATTACTAAAAAAATCTGGATTCTGATCTAACATCTCAAGAGCCCATCTACAAAATTGTACTCTGAGTACGTAGTCGGCCTCACTTAATTCCTATACCAGAGTAATATGATACGGATGGTAATTGACTGATCGTAACAATCTATGTGCCGTAGTTTGAGGGATTCCCAGTTCTCGTTCTATTTGGCGAGTACTAATATGGGGATTTTAATGAACCATAGCCAAAACTGCGAGCAATCTAGGGTCATTATTATTATGAAGTCTATTCCTTCGCCTTTCGCGATGAAGTGGGTTATTACGAGATCTCCTTTCAATGTTTATAATTTGTTGATCAGTAGGATGGCGGCGATTTGGGAATCGCTCCGCATAAGTACGGGCAGTAAGTCTGTAATTTCTACCACATTCACCAAAGGTTATAAGAATATCGACTACTTCTAAGCGTATAATTTGCCATTTTACCAGAATTTTATCAGAGTACAAATGTTAAAAAAATACATAAACACTTGTGACTTTGGCACTAAATGGAGTGCGCACTGAGTGTGCACTCGCCGCAGGTAATTGGGCGTTTCTTGTGCGGTACTTTGGACCATTCAAGTTGCCTAAAGGGCAGGTTACGCTAAAAGCAGTTTCTTGAAAAGTAATTAATGAGTAATATAAAATAATGAGAAGTTTGTTTTAAGACTAATTTTGAGTATTAACAATAAAAACATGGTATTTTTATTGTTAATGTATTGCAGAATCGTAAGCATGGGTTCTCAGTAAGAGAAATCGAAGAAATTGAATTTTGTCGATTACAGCGCCATCTATCATGAATCGAGAAAAATGTTTCAGACAAATTGTATGTGTTTTTAGCCAAAGATTCCGAATATGCAATAAAAAATAGAGGTTTCCATTTAAGATTTCAAACTTGCCCCCCCTCACCGCCCAGGGGGAGAGGTGAGGGGGCTGATGTTAACGTCATTGTACGTCCCCCTCGAAATGACGAAATTTTGATTCTAAACATTTTTTTGAGTGTGCTTATTTTTCGAGTTATTTGGCTGCCTAAGTTAAAATGGGTCACCCTGTATATATATATATATATATATATATATATATAATATTAATATTGGCTACATTCTTTAATTTTTAGAGCATATTTCTTCTCTCAAATTCTCGCATACAATTGAACGAGCATTTTGAAAGAGAGAGAGAGAGAGAGAGAGAGGGAGAGTGTGTGTCCAGGACGCCGTGTAACACACCGTCAGAAGATAAGACAGCATGAGAGAGACGAAGATAATATGACTGTCTGTCCTTGTCTAACTGCACGATTGCAACTTTACCATCACTAAATGTATAATGTAATTTCGTGTATGTCATTTCCACATGTACATTTAATAGAAATATATGCATATTCCAGGTCTTAAATTTTATATAGACTTCTAAACTTATTTCTGCAAGCTCAATATGTTTAATGTATAAATCTCGTTCGGTTTTATGGTAGTTTCCAGGTAAAGTTATACATCTAAATTGTACAGAGGAAATATTGTATCAAATGGCAGTTCCAGAATTGGAAACTGCCGTATTAATAAACTTTTGTCAAGATATACTATACAAAGAAAAATACTTCTTTTTTATAAAATATAATATTGGAATAGCAAATAATATACATTCATAAATAAAAATTTCTTTAAACGCCCAAAATTATAATTACGGCCATATTTTATGACCTTCAAAATTTTAGGCTTATCTGGAAACAATTTTTAAAATAAGCAATTCACGGCAAGATTAGTAAGAAATGATGAATGCCAGACTTAAATTGGTTTATGTCATTATATTCAAACAACCAGGTCTGTACATAAATCTATAACTATAAGTAGTAATAAAATGAACAAAGATTTTATTGCCAGATACCCTAGAGAAAAGAGAAGAAAACAATTCTCTGTAATTATAAATAATAAATTTCATTATAACATCAGAGTTTACTAAGGATGTTATAATAAATGTGAATTTCCAAATTTTGATATAGAAATAGGATTTCTAAATGTACAAACCGGGACCTTCTTAAGAAAGCTTACTATTGATCCCGAAATATTCACGAATGCAAAAACTTTGATAACCAGAAAAATAAAAATTTTTTATAATAACATAATATAAACATTTTTTACAAATATACTGCTTTCAAATCGGGGGGGGGTGGGCTTGTTTCTTCTCTTCATACGTATTATGATTTTAACAAAATAAGCAAATCATATAAGAAGAAATTGGGGAAAAGAAAAAAATTAATGTCGTTAATTATTCTTCTCCTCAGATTGTAATAAAAATAATAAGAATTTATATAAAATGAAGTATTGATTTTCTTGCAATACCGAAAAAGAGAGAAACATTTTTCCACTTCATTATAGTATATTATAATTCATTAGTTTAATTATAATGATTATCTGTATAATTATAAGAAATAAATGATATTGAATAAGATTTCTAATATAAGCTCGATAAAAAACTTGAAATTACAAGATAATCAATATCACGAATGCAACAACTTTGCAAACCCGACAACGTGATACATAGTTATACAGAATTATATGAAAAAATAAGCACAAAATTTAGACATGTAGAAGATTTCTCCAAATGTTAACGAAAACGTTGATTAAAACGCAAATCAAAATTATTTACATTATGGTTATATTCACCAAGCTCAAGTTTAAATAAAAATTAACAAAAATAAATCAGTACTTAACTAATTATAATGAAAATATTTTTCGCGGAATAATTTATTACTTCAGAATTTGAATTAAGATTTATAGAAATAATACAAATTTAAGATACAATATTTTCAAACAATTTTAACGGTCCTGGAAAATGCCGTATTTTCAATAATGCAAATAATTTTCCAGAACTTAAAACACAAGTCATTCTAATAGTAAGATTATATAAAAGAACGTCGACAAATTTAGAAGAACTCACCAGAAGCCTTCTCAAAATAATATTACTTCAAGTGTAAATGCAAATAATGTGTGCAAATTTACAAATTATCAAAACTAGTGATATTATTCTTATATATAAACATTCAATTTATACCGTATTAAATTAAAAAAATCAGCTTTCAGTAGTTAATCAAAATGTAAATATGATCTTTCGAAGTAGTATTATTATAATTTCGAATTAAGACTTATAAAAGAATAAAAAGAGACAATATTTAAAAAAAGCTTTACTAATCCCGGAACATGCTGTGTATGTTCAAAAATGCAAATGTCTGAATAATTTAGAACTTATTATGTTGCTCTAATAGCAGAATTATAAAAAACTTCTCGATAACTGTAGACTTATCAGAAATCTTCTTAAAATAAAACTACTTCAAGTTTCAATGTAAATGTGTATGTGAAAATCTAAACCAAAATTTACTGTCGATATTATTCCATCCGAAAATTTAATTTGCATGGTATTAATACAAAAATCAACTGTCAACACATAATTACATGTAAATATGGTCTTTTGAAGTAGAATTTAATACTTGAAAGTTAAAATTTTAATTGAAATAATCCAAAGAAACATTATATTTAAAAAATTTAATCGGTCCCGGAACATGCCGTACGTTCAATAATGCAAATAATTTTTTAAATCTAAATACATAATACTCATTCTAATAGCAGAATTATTTGAAATAAGATCCTTGATAAATGTAGACTTACCAGTAACTTTCTTAAAATAAAACTACTTTAAGTTTCAATGCAAAGTGTATGTGAAAACCTAAAACAAAGTTTATTGAGAGTACTATTATATCCAAAGATTTAATTCACATGGTTTTAATAAAAAAAAGTCAGCTCTCAATAAATAATTATATGTAAATATGATCTTTTAAAGTAGAAATTAATAACTGAAAATTAAAATTTATAATGAAAATTATTTCATTTTGTATTAACAAAGAGGACAATTTAAGAAAGTTTTGTCGGTCCCGAAACATGCCGTATGTTTAAAAATGCAAATATCTTTTCAGAATTTAAAACTTATTATGTCACTCTAAAAGCAGGACTATATAAAACAAAATTCTCGATAATTGTATACTTAAAAAAGTCTTCTTAAAAATAAACCTACTTCTTAAGTTTCAATGCAAGTGTAAATGTGAAAACCTAAACCAAAATTACTGATTTTATTGTTATATACAAAGACATAATTTACATACCTTTAATCCAAATATCAGATCGCAACATGTAATTATAATGTGAATATGATCTTTTAAAGTAGCAATTAAAACTGCAAATAAAAATTATAATGAAATACTACAAAGACGCGATAATTAAAAAAAAATGTTATCGGTCCCGAAACATGCCGTATGTTTAAAAATGCAAATACTTCTGAATTTAAAACGTCCCCCACACAGCGAAAATTATATGACATAAATTCCTCAACAACTTTAAACTTACCAGAAGCTCTTCTTAAAATAGAATTATTTCGACCATTAATGCATGTGTGTGTGGACATCCAAACAAAAATTAATGCATTATACCCGAATATTCAATTTAAATTGTTTTAATCTAAATCCATTTTCAACACTTAATTATAATGTAAATATGATATTTTAAAGTAAAATATAACTAGAAATTAAAATTTAATGGAAATAATACGAAAAAGCAATACCTTACATAAATTTATGCTGTCCTAGAAAATGCCATATACTCAAAAATGCAAATAGCTTTACAGAATTTAAAACTTATTATGTTGCTCTAATAGCAGGATTATATGAGACAAAATTCTCGTGAAATGTAGACTTACCAGAAGCCTTCTAAAAAATAAATCTACTTCAAGATTCAATGAAAATGTGTGTGTGAAAAAACTTAAACCAAAATGAATGACTTTACTATTATATCCAAAGAGATTTACTTAACTTTAAAATCCAAATATCAGCTCTCAACACGTAATTATAACGTAAATACGATTTTTTGAAATAAAATTTATAACAAGATATTAGACTTTATATAGAAATAATACAGATCGACATTACTTTAATACATTTTTTTATTGGTCCCGGAATTTGCCAAATATTAAAAAATGCAAATATCTTTCCAGAATTTAAATCTTATTATGTCGCTCTAATAGCAGGATTATATAAAGCCAAAGTTTCTTACAACTTGCGACTTACCAGAAGCCTTCTTAAAAATAAACCTACTTCTCTCTCGCAGTAGTCTCAACGCAAATGTGGGTGTGAAAACCTAAACCAAAATTATTGACTTTATTCTTATATACGGAGATACAATTAACATATTTTAATCCAAATATTAGAACCTAACACATAATTATAATGTGAATATGATCTTTCGAAGTAGAAATTAATAACGGAAAATTAAAATTTATAATAAAATAATACAAGGAAGCAATAATTTAAGAAAAATGACATCCCAAAACATGCCGTATCTTCAAAATAGCAAATAATTTTTCTGAATTTAAAACGTCCCCCTTATAGTGATATTATATGACAAAGAATCCTCGATAACTATAAACTTACCAAAAGCCCTTTTTAAAATAGAATTATTATTTCAACCATTAATGCATTGATGTGTGTGGACATTCAAACCAAAATTAATGCATTATAGCTGAAGATACAATTTAAATCGTTTTAATCTAAAAATCCATTCTCAATTAGCACTTAATTATAATGTGAATATAATACTTTGAAGTAGAATGTAATAACTAAAAATTAAAATTTATGTAGAAATAATACAAAAAAGCATTACCTTATAAAAAGTTTAGCGGTCCCGGCCCGGAAAATGCCGTATGCTCAAAAATGCAAATATCTTTCCAGAATTTAAAACTTATTATGTTTCTCTAATAGCAGAATTATATGAAACAAAATTCTTGATAACTTTAAACTTGTTAGAAGCCTTCTTAAAAATAAACTTCAAGATTCTATGCAAATACGTATGTGAAAATCTAAACCAAAATTTCTTGACGTTACTATTATATATCCGAAGATTCAATTCACATATCGTTTTAATTCAAAAGTAAGCTCTTAGCATAAAATTATATATAAATATAGTTTTTTGAAGTAGAATTAATAACTCAAAGTTAAAATTTATATTTAAATAATACAAAGAAACATTACTTTTAAAAATTTTATCGGTTCCGGAACATGCCGTACGTTCAATAATGCAAATAATTTTTCTATAACCTAAAAACATAATACTCGCTCTAATAGCAGAATTATTTGAAACAAATTCTCGATAACTTTAGACCTACCAGTAGCGTCCTTAAAATAAAACTGCTTCAAGTTTCAATGCAAATGTGTATTTGAAAACCTAAACCAAAATTTATTGACGTTACTATTATATATCCGAAGATTCAATTCACATGGTTTTAATTCAAAAGCTAGCTTTCAATATATAATATATGTATTAATATGATCTTTTCACGTAGAATTTAATAACTAAAAATTAAAATTTATATTTGACACAACAAGAAGGATTGGATAACTACATCATACAGGAATACTGCACATCGTGTATTTCACAAGACAAACTTTATATCAATATGGCGATGGCGAGAGAGAACATTAATTATAAATTAATATAGATGGTCGATCGGGACGACCAAAAAGATTATAAATAGCGACACCACAGTTCGCGTTGATTGGCTAGCTTAGCAATATTGTTATAGATGTGATCGTTAATGCTCTAACAATATTGCAATAATACAAAATAAAATTATTTAAAAAATAGTTTATCGGTCCCGGAACATGCTGTATGTACACTAATCGTATGCAAATAGCTTTAAAACTTTACAACATTATATCTCGTTTGAATAGCAAGCTTATATAAAAAATCTGTATAATCTTAGACTTTTATCAAAAGTATTCTAAAAACTACTTTAAAAAAAATGATATAAAATCAAATTGAAATTATACTGACGAATGTTCAATTTAAATCGTTTTAATCCAAAAATCGATTCTCGAATAATTAATTATAAATTAATTATAAAAATCGATTCTCCATATTAATTATAATGTCAATATAATCTTTCGAAATAGAAATTAATAACTAAAAACTTAAAATGAAATAATACAGAGGCAATATTTAAAATTTTTTTCTGTCCCGAAACATGCCGTATGTTCAAAAATGCAAAAATTTTCCTGAATTTAAAACGTCCCCTCTAAATAATAATATTACATGACAAACTTTTAATTATAATGTAAATATGCTATTTCAAAGTAAAAATTTAATAATTTAAAATTAAAAATTACATAGAAAACTAAAAGAGACATTACTTTATAAAAATT